TTCAGTAATTATTAAATTAAGAAATGTTGCCCCAACATCTCAGACAGTGGATAATCGAGAATCGGCGACGTAATGAAAATGTTTATTTACCATGAAAAAAGAGCCTCGTTGACTGAGCTACTTACCAAAAAGCTTGTTACATCTATCCTGAATGTAAATCTAACCTACAGAATTTCGAATTCCAATATTACACTAACAACAGGTCAAACTCGTTCGTGAGTAACGGAATGTTAAACATTGTACCAACACTGTTAGCAGATGATATTGGAGAAAGTGCTCTGACTTCTGCACAACTTAATCTCTGGGGAGGAAGTCCAGTAGAAACGTAATATTATTCATTTTATCAATATTTACATGACTAAATCTTACAAGTCACGTCTTACAGTTGCACGAATAATGCTTTCTTTGGATGTGAACGTACCGGAAGCGCCACCAATACTTTAAATCCAGTCAAAAGTGCACGTATCCGTACTTTCGAAGCTTTTCACTTCAGATACGGAAGAGTAGAAGTAAGGGCTAAAATGCCTAGAGGCGATTGGTTTTGGTCTGGTAGGTTAAACACATATAATCGATCGATCTATAATCAATTTGTTCATCCTCATTGATACTAATGAGCAAAGTAAGACCAAGGCCAAGATTGTCCCAGTGTTGGTTTTATTTTATTGCAATCATAAAAATATAATTTTACTTATATAATTTATTCTATCTATTGTATTTGCTTTCATTCGGGTAATTTTCATTGCGGTCATACATTAATGAACTATAATTTTCTTATTGATACACACAAATTTATATGTAGCAACTATCGAGCCTACCCCTTTATTCAATAGATTTTATAAATTCACCGGAAGTGGTAATTTTTCGTTTAATCTAATGTATTTAGTCTTGTGTTAGCATATTCGGTCTTGGTTTTAGTCTTGGTCTTCTGCGCTCGGGCTTGGTATTGGTCTTGTTAGAATAAAAACAGAGACCAAGATCAATTTTGCTCATCACTAATCATTAATAAAGGACAATAATCCTAGTCAGCAACTTATCGAAACTACCAAAAGAAAAGCAACAAAATCAAAATCGCAATCCACGTCTAGTAGCTTCGAGAAATTGCCAACCAAGAAGGGATTCAATTCCTGTTGGTTAAATACCCACATGTGGTAATGCTCAAACGATCAGTCTTTTGGTCGAAGGCAGACAGACGTTTCACTAATGTTCTCCAACTTTGTTGAGTTTGAGTTAATTACCATTTAGAGTGACTTGTATTTCACATTCGCCTTTTTGTAAATGAAATTTTGTTAAATTTATAGCCATTTGGATGATGCCTCGATATAATGTTTACGGATTATGGCCAGCTTCTGGTGAAATAGATATTAGTGAAGTTCGTGGTAATGCAGACCTTAGAAGAAACAATGTCCATATAGGAGATCAACAAACTAGCGGAACTCTCCACTGGGGACCGGCTTGGGCCGCTAACCAATTTATTAGAACCACTTTTCCCAAAAACAACGCTTCGTCTTATAGTTCCGATTTCCACCTTTATGGAGTCACGTGGACCAATGAAAGTATATCATTTACTGTCGATGGTGAAGTTATAGGTACCGTATCCCCTGCTACAAACTTTTGGGACCTGGGTCAGTTAGAAGGACGATATTGGAGCAACCCATGGGGAACCCAATCTAAAATGGCACCTTTTGATCAGCATTTCTATCTCATTTTAAATTTAGCTGTGGGTGGCACGGTGTTCTTCCCTGATGATGCTGTCAATGGTAACGGTGACAAGCCGTGGAGGGATACCTCCAGCCAGGTTAGATAAATTTTTCTTAATGAAGTTATATCGTTTACAATTATTTTGTTTGTAGGCATTTACTGACTTTTGGAATGGCAGAAATTCCTGGCTTCCCACTTGGAGAAATAATGATAGTACATTCTTAGTAGACTACGTAAGGGTGTATGCAATTTAAAGTTTTACATTTGTATCAAGTATTAAAAAAATTAATACATTGGCAATAGACATGAGGGACTTATAAATAGAATAAATAGAATTCATTACTTTTTATTTTTCTTTTACCATAATACACCCATAATCCGCCAACATTTAATCAAGACAGAAAGTTTTCAAACACCTAGACGTGAAAGCGAGCTTAACTTTTCGTCGAACGTGTATTTGTTTAAACATGAATAGCCAGGCATGGCTTCCAAATTACGGCATATATTGATCATATAATGAATATGAGTTTTAAAATTTCCCTTTCTACCGTGATCATTTTATTAATGATTTAAACAAGGGAATTTATCATGGAATTCTGTGTAATACATACTTATAATATGAGATAAAACTGCTGATTCGGTATACAAATTAAATTAAAAAAAATTAAAAACCATAAGAGTTCAATCGAAATAAAGCAAACAAATTATAATAATAAAAAGTTCATAGAATATGAAAACCAAATAGTTTCACCACATCCACGCACTATCTACTACTGGGGTGATCTTTTCTTATTATTATTACTTATTTTGTTACAAACCCTTTTTCGGCTTAAAACACTGGTATATCGTCTGCCAGAGTTGACGGCATCGTAAGGTCACATTCCCAAACTATTAGACGAAATACTACCCGATCGAGAGACGTGCGATTAAATTTAGTCTTACTACTCACTCTTCACAGTTCACTATATTCATTACCATTAAGAAAATCTATTGGTAGTAGAACTAATCTTTTGACATTACGAAACAGTTCATCATTAGCAGTTTTTACGCGAGAATTTGGAATAACTCCATCAGGACTAGGATTGATTTCTACAACAATCTCTAGTCGCTATTTAAGAGTAGAAAGGTTATCGTATTAATTGATGACATTGGAATCGTCTTTGATTGGGTGTTCTTCCATTTTCCATTTTGATCTGACGATTAATTCAGCAAGATATTCTTTCTGTAGGTGAACCCAAAATTATTGGTTGATTTCCTGTTTGAATTAGGGTAATTTACTTCTGGTATTACTTCTTGTAAGCCCATTAGTAAGTCACCCATTAAAAAATGTATAGAGCATACTGCTATGGGTTCGTTGGAGTTATAGGAAAGTATAGTCAATGGTCGAGAATTAAGAACATATTCGACTTCTATCAGTAGTTGTTGAAAGATTCGGATTAATAAAATTGTTATCTTTCCGTTTGTATGTCTTTTGATACTGTAATTTCTTCTCCTTGCTGTGATCATCAGCAATATTTGTTGCATAATAGGAATATAATGATCTCTTCTATACACGATGTAAATCTAAGAAACCATCTATTGTTAATATCGTTGACAATTTCTATGTGGACAGTTTGGTCACAAAATTAACTGTAGTAAACCTTGAAGAAGATCGGGAAAGAACGTGTCAGGGTGTTCTCTGTCCAGACCGCGTCGTCCCCGTTACAAGCCGCTTGGATCCACATTCCACGCGTTTGAATATAGGCAGTATATACGCGACGCGCATAACCCCTGTTGCACCACCGTTTGTGTAATGGGTTTGGCACGACCTGGAGCGGACAGGCGCGTCCTAGAATATTTTTACACCAAGTCTGACATTTGTTGACAATGATCGAGAAAGAATGCGCCGGAACGTCCCTTCGCTCTACAGGTCGATTGACAATCTCCGCGTCGAGTAATTGGTTATGCGTAGGTAGGCAGATACGTCGCGCATGTATTTCCGATCCACGCGACGTGTAATATGACCTTGACAGGGCTTTTATTACGTTATCGGCTCTTATCAGTAAATAAGATCAAAATAGGAAACCATACAAAAACTTAGATCACGACATTCGGACCCGGAATCGAACCGGGACCCCCCCCCCTTCCCCCCGTATGTTAAGTAATAGTGTAAGTCTCAACCTCTAGATCATGCCACTTTGTGGCCTTAAGTGTACACCGTTGAGATTACATTCCATTTAACTCATCATCTACTTCCACCCATGCATATTACTGCTTTCAGACTCTCTTATTATTAATGGAAGACTAAGGGCTATCTACCCTCTTAATCGCATGAGGGCAGTGAATAATTGTAGCAAAAAGTGACTTTGCAGGCACAATATGCATTGACACAATTCTTTTTTATATATTCATTAAGATGTTACCCGACTATCCTAAATCCATATATGCACGAACATTACAGTAACGATTAGAGAAGTTTTATTAACAGGGAGTAATAATAATAACAAGCACTTCAATTTAAAAACTATGTGGAAAATGTCTAATTATTTTGAATAATTTTACATTTGGGGAATCAACAACAAAGTTTTAGTCATGGGTGCAAAATTGCAATATGGATGAAATCAGGTTGCCTAATACATGAAACTTTTAACTTTTATATCCACTTATGCAATATAATACATGTATAAAGAATCCCTGATCGACTGACTCATGAACGCGTAGGCTAAACCCCTAAAATTTTGCAGGGAGGTTTGTTTGTTTGGATATTGCAAAATTAACCCCTAAGGGGTGAAAAGGACTGGCAAAGCTTTTATAGAACATTTTTGTTTGTAGTTACATTTAATTGAAGCATGATCGTAATGTTCTTTGATATGCAACCCCTGAAGGGGTGAATAGGGCTATGCTCAGCGAAGCGGACTGGTTACAGCCAGTGAATATTTTGATTGTTTCTGTTTCCACAGTATTTATTTAGACCGTGTGCCCAAATAATTATTAAATATGTTTTGTAACTTAAACCTGTATGTTTAGGTATGTTGCTCAAAACTCTTTTGTATATACTTTTACATTAGGGATTCCGCAATCCTTTTCATAATTTGGATTTTGTATTTCAAGAACTTTTTATGTATTGTGAAAAATAACTATTGAGAAGTAAACTTTTCTACTTGAGTGCCAAATGTATCTGTTGAACAGACATACAGAAATTACAGTGAATAATACTGATGTTTATCAATAACGCGCGTGTAAGTTGTTGATCAAAGTTAAAATCAATTAATTTCTACTTATGCGTTTTTTTTATCATGTTGTTTTATTTGCAATCGGAAACCGGGGAATTATAAAAGGCCTACGAATTATAAGTGAGTTTCATTCAACGACCAAGTTGAACGCCATATGAGCTACAGGTATGTGTGCTATTCTTTAACTTTTTGTTGTACCAATTAATATTGATNCTTTTTGTAAATGAAGTTTTGTTAAATTTATAGCCATTTGGATGATGCCTCGATATAATGTTTACGGATTATGGCCAGCTTCTGGTGAAATAGATATTAGTGAAGTTCGTGGTAATGCAGACCTTAGAAGAAACAATGTCCATATAGGAGATCAACAAACAAGCGGAACTCTTCACTGGGGACCGGCTTGGGCCGCTAACCAATTTATGAGAACCACCTTTCCCAAAAACAACGCTTCGTCTTATAGTGCTGATTTCCACCTTTATGGAGTCACGTGGACGGATCAAAGTATATCATTTACTGTCGATGGTGAAGTCATAGGTACCGTAAACCCCGCTACAAACTTTTGGGACCTGGGTCAATTACAAGGACGGGCTTGGAGCAACCCATGGGGAACCCAATCTAAAATGGCACCTTTTGATCAGCATTTCTATCTCATTTTAAATTTAGCTGTGGGTGGCACTGTTTTCTTCCCTGATGATGCCGTCAATGGTAACGGTGACAAGCCGTGGAGAGATACCTCCAGCCAGGTTAGATAAATTTTTCTTAATGAAGTTATATCGTTTACAATTATTTTGTTTGTAGGCATTTACTGACTTTTGGAATGGTAGAAATACCTGGCTTCCCACGTGGAGAAATGGTGACAGTACATTCTTAGTAGATTACGTAAGAGTGTATGCAATTTAAAGAATGAAATTTATTTATTTGGAATACTCTTGATTTCGGAAAATATTTATTTTCATTTGACTTTGCAGCAACATGCTTAGGTTTGTGTATTTTCTTCTCGCAATTGCGAGTACCGCTTATTCTCAATGCAATCCATCCATTACAACTGTTGGGGGATCAAAAGCCCCATCGCGGGTTTGTTCTGGTCAACTTGTGTTCCAAGATGAGTTCAACTTTTTTGACTTCTCTACTTGGGAACATGAAATCACTTTAGCAGGAGGTGGTGTAAGTAGAGGAATAAAATTTATTTAACTCAGTCAAAGAAGTAAGTACTTTTGTTAAAATAGTAAAAGAATTCGCTGATTCTGAATTTCGTTATCCTCACTCTGAGATATTGGGACAACATTTCTTAATTTAATATTTAGTGAAAAAAAAAATAACTTTTTGCAAAATATCTCCTCTCCAGTGTATGTTTCGCCATATGCATCTTGCATGCTTTTTATTTCTCTTATAATTGTCTAAAAAATGGAGCTGACTGCTAGTCGCTAAGTGCTTTTTGTTTATTAACAAATCGTGTTCAGAACCAAAAAAATATTTTCTTACATTAAATATATCGGGGGCAAAATCATTATTGTTTACAGTAATATTTGAAAGTACTCCAAATTTCAGAAATATCGGTAATTAACTTTACAAATAATAAGAATTCGATTTTTCCCCCTTCATTGTAAAATGTTTTGTGAATATTTGGTTCTATTGAAACTAGCCCAGGAAACTCGAAAACCTGTTTAAATTTAATATGAAAAATATCGATTCGAACTTATTGTATAACGATTTTTTGACTACATATTTGCTTACCTAACGGATAAAATCATATACTTACAGAAGCGTTGTCAACATAATAGTTATAAAATCGATCGATATTCATATTTTTGAAAAATTTGTTTAGGAAGACAGCTAAGTCAGGACGGAAGGAGTAGTAGGGAAATAAAGCAGAGGCTAGCGCAGGTTCGAGCCACTTGTGGGCTCGCGAATGGTTAATTTAGAAATTCGAAAAAAGTTGTTAAAGGTTATGTTTGGAGCGTGGCACTATACGGGAACGAAACGTTGTTGTTGGGAAAAGTATAGAAGGTTAGGAATGAAGAGGTATTACATATAAATAATCGGGAAACAGAGGACTCAATGAAAATCAATAAATAGATGAGATAGGTTACTAAGACACCTTCTCAGGCATGAAGGGCTAGTCAGAGACATATTAGAGGCAGAGACAGGAGTTAAGAGGAGCAGAGGTAGACCTACATTAGATTACTATTCGCAAATTCTTAAGGATGTGGGATTTTCTAGTTTTAGGGAAATGCGAAGATTAATTCAAGATAGGGAAAGGTGGAGGTACGTGTCCAATCAGTTTTAGGACTGACGACCTTATGGGGATGAAGATACATTTAATGAAAAATGCACCTACAAAAGTAAATTTTTTCACTTATTGATAAATTAAGAAATGTTGCCCTAACATTTCAGACTGTAACAACGAAACGTAGAATAGGTGTATTTGTTTATTTTCCGTGGATAAAGGGCCTCGTTGACTGAGCTACTTAGAAAAATGATTGCTATATCTATCCTGAACATAAATCTAACCCGCAGAATTTCGAATTCCAATATTACAACAACAACAGGTCAAACTCGTACGTGAGTAACGGATTGTTAAACATTGTACCAACACTGTTAGCAGATGATATTGGAGAAAGTGCTCTAACTTCTGCACAACTTAATCTCTGGGGAGGAAGTCCAGTAGAAACGTAATATTATTCATTTTATCAATATTTACATGACCAAATCTTACAAGTCACGTCTTACAGTTGCACCAATAATGCTTTCTTTGGATGTGAACGTACCGGAAGCGCCACCAATACTTTAAATCCAGTCAAAAGTGCACGTATTCGTACTTTCGATTCCTTTCACTTCAGATACGGAAGAGTAGAAGTAAGGGCTAAAATGCCTAGAGGCGACTGGTTTTGGTCTGGTAGGTTAAACACATTTAATAGATCTATCTATCTATGAGCAAAGAAAGACCAAGGCCAAGATTGTCCCAGTGTTGGTTTTATTTTATTGCAATCATACAAATATAATAGGTATTGCATCAATGAACCGAACGTAATAATTTTTTGTTTAATGTTTTGTATTTGGTCTTGGTGTTGCCTTGGTTTTAGTCTTGGTCTTGTTCGTTTAGCCTTAGTCTTGTTAGAATAAAACAGAGACCAAGGCCAATTTTGCTCATTGCTGATCATTAATAAAGGACAATAACCCCAGTCAGCAACTTATCAGAACTACCAAATGAAAACTAACAAAATCAAAATCGCGATCCATAGCTTCAAACAATTGCCAACCAAGAATGTATTGTTCTTTATAATGTCGGACTGATTAGGGATTCGATTCCTATTACTTAAACACCCACATGTGGTAATGCTGAAATAATCAAGCAGAAGACAGACAGACGTTTCAGTACTGTTCTCCAACTTTGTTGTGTTTGAGATAATTGCCATTTAACGTCACTTTTATTTCACATTCGCCTTTTTGTAAATGAAGTTTTGTTAAATTTATAGCCATTTGGATGATGCCTCGATATAATGTTTACGGATTATGGCCAGCTTCTGGTGAAATAGATATTAGTGAAGTTCGTGGTAATGCAGACCTTAGAAGAAACAATGTCCATATAGGAGATCAACAAACTAGCGGAACTCTCCACTGGGGACCGGCTTGGGCCGCTAACCAATTTATTAGAACCACTTTTCCCAAAAACAACGCTTCGTCTTATAGTTCCGATTTCCACCTTTATGGAGTCACGTGGACCAATGAAAGTATATCATTTACTGTCGATGGTGAAGTTATAGGTACCGTATCCCCTGCTACAAACTTTTGGGACCTGGGTCAGTTAGAAGGACGATATTGGAGCAACCCATGGGGAACCCAATCTAAAATGGCACCTTTTGATCAGCATTTCTATCTCATTTTAAATTTAGCTGTGGGTGGCACGGTGTTCTTCCCTGATGATGCTGTCAATGGTAACGGTGACAAGCCGTGGAGGGATACCTCCAGCCAGGTTAGATAAATTTTTCTTAATGAAGTTATATCGTTTACAATTATTTTGTTTGTAGGCATTTACTGACTTTTGGAATGGCAGAAATTCCTGGCTTCCCACTTGGAGAAATAATGATAGTACATTCTTAGTAGACTACGTAAGGGTGTATGCAATTTAAAGTTTTACATTTGTATCAAGTATTAAAAAAATTAATACATTGGCAATTGACATGAGGCACTTATAAATAGAATAAATAAATTCATTACTTTTTATTTTTCTTTTACCATAATGCACCCATAATACGTCAACGTTTAATAAGGCGTCGTACTTACCTTAGTTAGCGGTTGTTGGCGAACAGTTAAAATCTTTAAAGTTAAGTAAAAATGGCTGCGTAATACTCTGCCATTAATAAACAAGTTTATCTAAAATATTGCGAAAGACTTGAAAGGAAGTTTTCATAATTACTGATGCACTTTTTAACGCTAATCACGACGTTGATTGTATTCAGTTAAATATTAGACACGGCACAAACGGCCAAGTGTGAGAAGGTCCTGCTCCCTAGTTAGCTCTAACAATTCTGTGGAGTTACTCTGTATCGGAATTTGAACAATCGTTGTCGCAGTACAGTTTCAATGTTAAAACTGTATCAATAAATCGTAAGAAAAAGGAACTTTACAAACAGACAGGTGGACAAAAAATGAGTTCCTCTTTTTCATTTCGAGATATGGAATCCTAAAAATAAATTTTCTTATTTTCTTCTGGGCAGGAAGCCAACTATATACCAACGAAGGATATAGATTAAGCGATTTCGACCATTATCAAACAAGACTTTTATATATATTTTTTGAGAAGTGAGTAAGCTTGTTCGAAGAAGCCAAAGTTTGACGAAACATATTAAATTAAAAAGAAAGTAAATGTTGGTAGCAGTATTAGCATCTAGCAAGGAAGAATTAGGGATAGCTTTAGATAAAATACGAGGGTGGATTGATAAGTTTCCGGCCTGACCAAGAAAAACAAGGTTTTTAAAATTTTTTTTTTTTTATTTCTCAACATAATCTCCTCCAAGGCTGATACATTTCTCATAGCGGTGTTCCAGTCTATTAATGCCATCTCTATAGACTGATTCGTCAAGCTCCTCAAAATAACCATTTACAGCTTCGATTACTTCTTCATTGTCCGCAAATCTCTTACCGCCAAGCCATTTTTTGAGATTAGGGAACAGAAAATAGTCACTCGGGGCTAGGTCTGGAGAGTAAGGAGGGTGCGGCATCAATTCAAACTTTAGATCGTTGATTTTAGCCGTCGCAACGATTGACGTGTGCGCTGGTGCGTTATCGTGATGAAACAAGATTTTTTTCTTCGCCAGATGAGGTCGTTTAATTTTCACCTCGTGGCTCAAACGTTGCAATAAGTCTGCGTAGTATTGACCAGTGATAGTATTACCCTTTGCAAGGTAATCAATGTATATAATACCTCTTGCATCCCAAAAAACAGTAGCCATAACCTTGTTCGCCGAAAAAATTGTTTTTGCCTTCTTTGGAGTTGGTTCCCCTGGTCCAATCCACTGTTTAGACTGTTCTTTGGTTTCAGGAGTGTAGTGGTGGACCCACGTTTCGTCAACGGTTACGAATCGACGCAAAAATTCGCTTGGATTACGCTTATACAATGACAAATTTGCGGTAGAAATGTTTTTTCGAATCAATTTTTGGTCGACTGTTAGCAAACGCGGCACCCATCTTGCACAGAGCTTTTCCATATGCAAATGTTGGTGCAAAATATGTTGCACACGTTCATATGACATCTTACAGGTCTCAGCTATCTCACGCACTTTCAATCTGCGGTCTCCCAGCACTATTTGATGAATTTTTTCGATCATATCTGGAGTTGTGACCTCAACGGGGCGTCCTGAGCGAGGCCCATCAGAGGTGCTCACACGACCCTTTTTAAACTCGGAAACCCACTGCTTAACGGTTGAATATGACGGGGAGGATGTCCCCAGTGTTGAGTCCATCTCTTTTTTAATTTCCTTCGGCGTTAACCCCTTCAAATAAAAGTATTTGATGACAGCACGATTTTCCTGCTTTTCCATTTTTACGAAAACCACAGAGGCGTCTTGTTCAGCGTGCTGTCAAACCTACACTAGCAAGGAGATCGGGCTGAAACTATAGCTACAAGCTATCCAAGGATGGTACTATAGAATGTCACCTCAAGGTAGGCCTAGTGGCGTCATCTCTTGGTTAGGCCGGAAACTTATCAATCCACCCTCGTAGAGTCGGTATTGACAAAATAGTATTGTCATCATCATAAGGTCGTCAGTTCTAAGACTCGTTGCACACGCACTTTCACTCTTTCTTATCCTGAGCTAATTTTCACTTTTGCCCAAAAAATTAGCTTCATCATCGTCATCATAAGGTCGTCAGTCCTAAGACTGGTTGGACAAGTACTTCCACTCTTTCCTTTCCTGAGCTAAACTTCGCATTTCTCTAAAACTAGAACGGCCCACATCCTTAACTATTTGCAAACAGTAATTTAATCTAGGTCTCCCTCTACCCCTCCTAACTCCTGTTTCTGCCTCTAATATGTCTTTGACTAGACCTTCATGCCTAAATAGTTAAGGAAGTGGGATGTTCTAGTTCTCTATCTCTGGATAGGAAAAGTTAAAGGTGCATGTCCAACCAGTCTTGGGACAGATGACCTTATAATAATAATGAAATATTGGTTTTTCGTAAAGACCATAGATTTACTTTAACAATTGAAATACCCGTACTGTTTTTTAGTGTGAATAACACTTGTGTAACAGTTGTGAACCGCCACTGAATCGCACACTTTAATATTGTAGTATGTATTCTTATTCTTGAAGCATTTATTACTTATCCGCGACTAACACTTTATGATCATGTTATTCCTGAACATTATTTTTATGTACCCACTTGTTTGTAACAATTTATTTTGTGGTTGCCAAATTATTTGTTGAAGGTATTGATTTTTCAGTTGAAATGTTACGTGAAGAATTGGCGTGGAACCAAAAGATTCTTTCTACAAGAATCCATTAAACTAGAACTAAATTGCAATATAGTCACACAATTGTAATATTTATTTTTGTGTTTGATTTTAATTTGTGGTTTATATTATTTCTTACTTTTATTGATAGGTATGTGCTCTTTTGTTGCAGCGGAACAAGTAATGGAAGAAGCGAAGACCTGCGGGAAAATATTAACAGTCCTTTCGTGGATGTTAGTTATCCTAACGATGCCTTTCTCTCTGTTGGTTTGCTTTAAGGTAAGTCTATGTTAAGGTATTTTCAATAAGGTTAACGTAAAAAAGCTTAAAGCTTGGTTTAGGAAGTCAGGTAAGTCAGGACGGAAGTAGTAATAGAGTCGTAAAGCAGAGGATAGTACAGGGTCGAGTCGCTTTCAGTAAAAAGAAGTTATTTCTATGCTCGCGAACGGTTAATTTAGAAATTCGATAAAGATTGTTGAAGGTGCATGTTTGGAGCGCGGCGCTGATCGGATACAAAACATTGATGCTGGGGGGGGGGGGCGGAAAAGAAAAGGTTAAAAGCGTTAGAAATGTGGTGTCACCGACCGAGCGGCATGGCCTAGAGGTCTAGACCATTGCTTAGCATTCGGGAGGACGCCGGTTCGATTCCGAGTCCGTCTGCCTTGGTCCAAGTTTTTCTGTGGTTTCCTTGGATCACTTAGGCGAATGCCGAGGCGGTAATATTCCACAGATAATCTTTCATTCTCTTCTGTTTTCATTTCGTCCGTCTCGACTTTCTCACCCGTACCACCACCCACCCATTCCCACGATTCCTGAAAGCAGGCTGAAGAGGGCCTTCCGACCTACCTTCCGATGTAGTCCGGAGGGACTGCCCGCCCACCAGCATTACTGCCTGGTGGGAATGAAACACCCAAAAGTTTTAGTTTTTTAAGGTGTTACAGGCGAATGATGAGAATACTGTGGATAGAGTAGGTTATAAATGAAGAGGGTTAAAACGAATAGGAGAACAGAGGATTCTATGGAAGTCAATAATAAATAGGCGAGATAGGTTGGTAGGACAGCTTCTCAGGCATGAGGGGCTAGTCAGAGACATATAAGAGGCAGAAATAGGAGTTAAGAGGAGTAGAGGTAGACCTAGATTAGATTACTATTCAGAAATAGTTAAAGATGTGGATTGTTCTAGTTTTGGGGAAATGCAAAGATTAGCTCAGGATAGGAAAGGGTGGAGGTGCGTGTGCAACCAGTCTTTTAGGACTGACGACCTTGTGATAATTACTGGAGTTCTTATGATAATAACTGGAGGAAGAAGATAAGGTAATGGAAAAGAAAAGGAAAACAAGAAAAGCGGGAAAATAAAATATAGGGTTGTTCGGAAAGTCATTTCGTTTTTTCCCGACAGAGGATTTAATTGTATTCTTTTGCACCCAACTTCACATTTAAGCCGTATAATTTTTATATGCTTTGAGAGCTCATATAGCAAGGCTTGTGTGTGAAAAATTCCAATTAATTCTANAATTGCTGACGATGGTTCCGAATTTTGAAAATTTTCCAATTCCGGGAAAATAAAAATATAATTTTGGAAATTACGAACACTATGTGAGAATATCAATACAGTAAAGTCCGCTTCTCGTGCATGTAAAGGCTTATGAGATTTTGAGCTAGCTGTACCACTGACGATAACATAAAAACATTTCATTTGTTTCGAAATAATTGTGTTCATTTATTGCATTATTCATTGTGCTGCTGTTGTGAATAAAAAACGAGGTTGACATTTAGGCTTTACAGCTGTTCGATCCGTGGAACATATTCCTATGGTAGATATTTTTGTTTTATCTTCTGAATGGTAGGCATTTTCTGTAAAACAATCGCAAACGTAAATATGAAGAAGATAATAATTAATGTCTAAAAATACAACCGACCAAAAGCGTGTTTCTGGCATTTTCATTTACTTAATTTTAATATTTAATATTTGTATTCAATATTTTAATTCATTTCATGGACAAAAGTCTGTGGTAATTTTGGTCTCTACGGTATTCTTCGTATTAATCGTAAATTAAAAAAGGAGAACAAAAGAAAATTTAATTTTAAATATAAATGCAAAATATGAAAAAATTTTGAACGCTGAGACGATAAATGGACTGAAGTGAGATGATATTTGAATAGAGAGGGGAAAAGGGAATTTTATTATTAAGTTGAGATGGAGTAAAGGGAATGTCATTTACGACCATCAGTTTAGTGACAACAGAATTTAATTAAATGAAATTTGAAGAGGTCCCTTTAGAACTGATATATGCTGATTTTATTTATTCATTAGTACGCCAACCGGAAGCGAACCTTTAATACATAATCTGCTATACATTATGAAATTGATATCGTCGGAAAGCGTCTTTCTGTTTGTATGTATTAGCTATAAAATTTTAGAACCGCCAAATCGCTTGTGTAAGCGGTGTTTTAATTATTAGATAGATCGATAGATAATAGCTTTATTAACACATATTATTCCTTATTCCACGTTCTTGCAAGAGCTCTTGGGCCCGTGATCTAGTGTATCCAACTTTCTTGCTCTTTTCCCGAGTGCTCACATTTTTCTAGGACATGTAGATATGTTTGTACTACAGGAATAAATTTTTACTCCTTTTTGCTTACTTTTATAAAAGTATTTGCATTAACAAAATAAATGCACTCCAAAGATAAATTGTCAGTCAGGTCATTTTTTCGCCGACTAGAGTGGCGTCGCCCCTTTAATTCAATAAAAAACTATGTTTCTCTGCTCTCATGTCGTAATTTTCTTTACATTCTTATACTTAATTGTAAGAATATGTAATTAAGAACCTTTACTATAATCCATTTGAAATTATGGTCGCTTTTAAAGTTCTTTTTTTCGAATTATTTAAATTTTTATATACAACAATTTTGTGCTTCGGTTCATAGTAGGTAATAAAACGTACTTTTTATACTGTTCTCTTTGCTGTTGGTTTGATAAAACTCGACGTTTTTCTTTTCGTGCCAGTGCTAATTGCTTCTTAGGTCTGTTAATGTGGTGACCTCATTAATCTGAAACTTTAGCGTTAGTCCGATGGATGGGAAGAAATAAGTTGCTGTGTAATTCTGTCCTTTTTACTGTCGAGACACAAGTCGCGAGCAAACGATCGTACGCATAAGTCCGCAATAATTCAACCGAGATCTTCCAGTTCTGCTTTCGAGAATTAATTACAGAAGTATCTACTTCTGTAGATCTTTCTTTAATATTGAAGCGTAATAAGGCGATTAAAAATTCATTCGGTTCGTGGATAACAAAAGACTTGAGAAGAAATTGTCCTTTCTGATAAAAGAATAATAAGTTTGTCTAGTAAACTAATGTAAATTTAGTAACAGTTCATCATCCAATGTATTTTTTTCTGCAAAAATCTCAAAAATTTCTAAATTAACCGTTCGTGAGCATTGAAGTTACTTTTTTTTTGTTAAAGGCGACTCGACCTTTTCCTGTTCTCTGTTTTTTCCCACTGGCTTCGCTCGCAAAAATTAATATTGTTTCTCCATAATACCTTTTAACTCCCAATTCACCCCTACAAAGTTTTAATTTTATGTAATGTCGTCTTAAATTTCAAATACAAACGTAGCAACAACATTTCATCCTTAAGAGTTGATTTTTAAAAACTGCCAAAACACTTATTTGCATAATTTCAACAATGAGCAACCTTCGAGTAAATGCGAGTACAAATAAAATATACCCCATGAATACGTTGCAACCTCTTTTAATTTGATTAATAATATCAAACAGCATATATATCAAGTTTCAAATATATTCAACCACAAATAAAATGTCTCAAACAACCCCTTTCAGCTTTCTAAAGAGGTAGAATTTTGTAAAATGTTGAAATAGGTATGTATATCACTAATTTTATATGAAAAAGCATTAAAACCAAGTTTCAGGTAAATCTGACCAAAAACAAACGTGCAATCTTTGCAAACCCCTTTCAGCTTTCTAAAGAGGTAGAATTTTGTAAAATGTTGAAATAGGTATGTATGTCACTAATTTTATATGAAAAAGCATTAAAACCAAGTTTCAGGTAAATCTGACTATAANTGATAAATAAATATAAAAGAAAAAATGAAATATTGCAAATTCATCAATCCTAACTAATATTATAAATGCCAATGTGAGTTTGTTTGTTTATTACGATTTCACGGCTTAACTACTGAACCGATTAACATGAAAGTTTGTACACACATTGCCAGGGGTACAGCAAAGGGCATAATGTAACTTTTATCAAAAAAAAAATGATACTGTTTATGAGGAATAGAATAATTAGTTTATTTAAGAGAAACTAACTTATTTAAAATTGAAACAGTTTTACGTGAATATTAATTTTTACCCGCTACTTCATCGGCGTAGATTTCAGATATAAAATTTAATTGATTTTGCACATAGAGTTTGAAGTTAGCCTATAGCATTTATAACCTTTCTGATTATTCCGCCAACTCAGTGTTTTTTTGTACCCCCGACAATGTGTATACAAAATTTCATGATGGTCGATTGAGTGGTTAAGGTGTGAAATCGATCACATTCTACAATTTATCGATCTCTCGGGAACAAATTTTTTTCTGATTAAAAGGTACCTTATGTCCTTTCCTGTGCACCTGACAACGTGTGTACAAATTTTGATGATGATCGGTTAAGTAGTTACGGCGTGAAAAGCCGACAAACAAACAAAAAAATTCACTTTCGCATTTATTTAATTACTTAGTTAGAATTATTGCTATACTCACAATTGACAGTATAAAATACATGTTTATACACATTTTGGTACAAAGTCAATTGCAAAATCGACAAATGCAAATGATAATGATTTACTATATTACTAATGCTTTGTACTTACAGAACAATACAATAGAAATAATCACTTCCTTCTTTGTTTCAGGTGGTGCAAGAATATGAACGGGCAGTTATATTTCGCTTAGGACGTTTGCTATCCGGTGGTGCAAAAGGGCCAGGTGAATAATAAATATTATTTTATTTTATGATTTATGAGCGTCAAATGGTGTTAATGGATAATCAAATATTTTTTTTCTATAGAAATGCGCGAAATTAACGCGTAAAAATTGATGCTAAAAAGACAAAACTAAAAATTAATCAGGAAATGTATCTCTTGAATCATAAAATAAATCTAATGCTGAAAATTTTAAGAGTAACATTCAGAACATTAAGAATAGTAAATGAACTAACAAAATTTATTGTTATTGTAAACTCAAAATGAAAAATCTTATAAGTTATTGTTTTTTAACATAGTAACTAAAAATGGTGAGTAGTACTTTTGGTCACTGGGTCCTTATTAATAAAAAAGGAAAAGATATTCTGTTTTTTTTAATGTATCTAATCACTAAACTAATCAACTTTTATGATTTATAAAACTTTTGAACTGTTACTGATAAAAATAATAGAATATCACGTAAAGGAATTTCTTAGTATGTTTATGTTACCGGAAATGTATGAAATCCTAGGAAATCTATACAATCCCGAGGCTATTTAGAAAATGTATAAAATATTGTTTCAAAATGTTTTTTGATATACACATATCCTGGGCAATTTATACATTTCCTAGGAATTGTATGAAATTCCGAAATTTTACTAGGAAATGTATAATACTAATGCTTTGTGTGAATAAAATATGATGACGTCACCAATGCATATGAATTTTTAGTATGTTGTAGAGGTGAATATGCTGATCGTTTTGATACATATACATATTGGGCACGGAAATGATAATGAAGCATAGTTATCGAACGTTGAAAAACAATATTTGGCAGCCTATGACATAAAATAGGCAATAATACGACAGGCTGTTTGGAGATGCATTGGTGACGTCATTATTTGGTTAGGCAGATTTATGACAGATCGGAGTTTAATTAATGCCCCTGATGGAGACGAGCTGATATATTAGAGTATTTTATTCACAGAAAGCATTACTTTTATGCATTTTCTAGTACAATATCGGAATTTCATACAATTCCTAGGAAATGTATATATTTCCCAGGATATGTGTATATTAAAAAATCTTTGAAACAATATTTTATAGATTTCCTAAATAGCCTCGGAATTGTATACATTTCCTATATTTCATACATTTCTATATACCAATTTAACGAAAGTAATTGTAAAAGATTCAGAAACTTGGCACTCTGTAAAACAATCGCAAACGTAAATATGAAGAAAAAAATTTGCGATGTTTTCGAGGGTATGTGGATGTCTACGTCTAATGACATTAAGTTGATTGCCTAATTTATATGTGCTCGTTAAGGCAACTTTTAGTAGTGTAACATAAATTGTCTTTTCCTAATACCCTATCTATAATTTAAAATAAGCACATTAGGGCTGCTTCATAATTTATGTACGATTAGGATTACGGTTATTTAGAATGGCTCAGTCGACTAATTACAAAAGATTAAAGTGTGTAGAGGCCCAACAAAATGTTTTGCAAGATTTAAATAATATTGACTTTGATTTTGTTACAAATTCAACTAAACCAAGAAATTATAATTAAAAAAAACTCGGTATAATTTTCACAATATTAACGAAACTTGATAATTGTTTCGCCAGTAGATACGTAGCCATTATCAAAAGTGGGAATGTGTTTCGTCAATAAATTTGTGGAAATATTAAAAAAAATACAACGTGTAATTATACAACACGCTACTGAAGTGAAACTTCTTCGAACTCACAAACATACCGGGATAGGGGTTAAGGAATTGGTTTAATGGTATTATTTGTATACTATGCTTCGCACGGGTGCAATGCTGATAGTAAATATACTATAGAATGTCTTTATATACAACAATTACACCTTTTTTGTCATTAGACTATACAAAACGGCCGGTACCGTCGCAACCGTCATGTCCCTGCATTTTAAATCTGTAGTATCTTCGAAAATATTCATTTAAATTACAAGCTGTAAAGGGCCATATTGATCTATATTAAATGCACAATGTATTTAAAAGTACTTAATTGGATAAGGATTAATGCTGTATTGCTTAAAATCGCTTCGTAAATAAGTCATTATTTCTCGTAAAAAGTAAAGGATAAATAATGGTTATTGTGGGTTATCCCTAAGAGATAGACATATATCATCGTAGACCTTTTTAAGGTATATAATACTGTAGTATATTATTTTGATCTATCTCGTAGGGTTCAGTCAGCGTTTCCAATGTAAGCACAAAAAAATGTGTTTATTTAAGACATCACATTACAAACCTCTAAAATTATCAGTGTTTCTCTACTATATTATGCATGTATTATACATATAAACCTTCCTCTTGAATTACTCTATCTATTAAAAAAAACCGCATTAAAATCAATTGCGTAGTTTTAAAGATCTAAGCATACATAGGGACAGACAGCGGGGGAAATGAGTTGCATGATTTCGTTACATAGCAACCAACTCGCATGAAACGAACTTATCCTACCGTGCGTAAAGAAGTTTCACTTCAAAAGTGTTTTATTAATCATATTTTTCTGTATTCAATTGTGTCCTCTCATAATAACAATTGCACCATGATAACTTTAGATAGTATCAACTAAACAATTTTAGGTTCCATTTACAATAATATCATTGTCAGCAACACATCGATTAGGGTACGGTGAAATAAGCTTTTTTGAATTATCAGTCGTACATCGGAAACAACAACAAAAACGGTTTGTACCAGTTTACATGTTGGTTATCACCCGTGTGTTAGATTAGAATTTCAACTATGAACTCGTAACACCTCTGTTCCCACATGCCGTGTAATATCAAACGTGTGGTATGAATGGAGTCCACGTACCCATATCTCCATTGGCACGCAGCATTGAAAGGACGAATATTTGCTGAGATGCCTGAAACTATACAATATCATACCAGTGTCCTTATTGAATTTATTAAATTAAATTTCAATATTCTCATTTCATCTTTGTTCAATTAAAGCCCATTTCAAACTTGACAGACAAAACGTGGCTACGTGTGTTATGTATTTGTAGAGGTACTTAGGAATCTCATGGACCTGGACGTTTAGTTGCGTAGTCCATTGTTTTCTACATAGTTTATCGCGAGCTCCTTGATTTACGGCAAGGTCTATGGTTTTGACATGGACATAAATATTTACAACCCCGTTTTGTTTCTGATCTTTTACACATTGTAATAAGAGAAAGAAATGGAATCCATAGTTTTTTGTTTTGGGTTCACCTAATAAGTGAAGTTTTTCGAATCGTTTTCTAAGAAGTTTGGATTATACGCATTTATGAGCACACCACAATATCTTGTAGTTTTCAGTTTTACACAGCTGACGTATATTAATTCGATATTGTTTTACGGGTTGTTTTGTCGTAATTCATAGAATTTCGTAGTTCCTAGCTAAAGGTACGATAAGTGGTGATTTGGCATGTGCTGATATCAATTTGAATTTTCAAAATTCCATGGACCATGACATTGAACCCGGAAAATAGTGTCGATCCAATATTTTAAATTATCTCTTTTTGAGCTATCTTCAGTTAAAGAATTAGAAGGCATTCATGAAATGTCTCTTTGTTCTCTTTTTAGGGTTCTAATACCTTCTATGACCAATGTGAGCAACTTTTATTCATTTTATATAATGTTTAATCGGTGATACCAGCAAAACTTTTAACGTCAAAAANTGGCGTATATCAATTCGATATTGTTTTGCGGGCTGTTTTGTCGTAATTAATAGAATTTCGTAGTTCCTTGCTAAAGGTACGGTAAGTGATGATTTGGTGGTTGCTGATATCAATTTGGAACATCAAAATTCCATGGACCATGACATTGAACCCAGAAAATAATATCGATCTAATATTTTAGATTAACCATTTTCAAGGAGTTAAAAATCAATGTGAGCAACTTTCATTTATCATTTTATATACTGTTTAATCGGTGATACCAGCAAAATTTTTAACGTCAAAAATGTAAAATATTTCAAATAAAATACACAATGGTTTTCTCAAAAAAGTATTTAATTGCAAGATGGCATTCATGAAATGTCTCTTTGTTCTCTTTTTAGGGTTCTAATACCTTCTATGACCAATGTGAGCAACTTTTATTCATTTTATATAATGTTTAATCGGTGATACCAGCAAAACTTTTAACGTCAAAAATGTAAAATATTTCAAATAAAATACACAATGGTTTTCTCAAAAAAGTATTTAATTGCAAGATAGAAATAGGTATTTTGTATTTTGTATTTACATTTTAAATGCAAGTATTTTAAATAAATCACATCTCTGGTTGTATGCGGATCCGGTAGTTCGTTCCCTAAAGGAAGATTTCAATCCAACGCCAGTTTATGACGTATTCGACGATTCCCTAACCATATGGAATAATGGATCACCTTTCCTCATTTAGCTTAGTTCTTTATAGGACCCCAGATAGTGTTTGTTTTCGTCATTGTCACATGGAACTTTTGGAATTTTGTCTCAGCCCACATGGGCCCCGCTTCCATGTATCGGTTCCTTGTAGTTGTTTCGCATTTCGCAATGTTGACCCAATATATCCCGGAACTGTAAAAAATGCAATTGCTGACGATGGTTCCGAATTTTGAAAATTTTCCAATTCCGGGAAAATAAAAATATAATTTTGGAAATTACGAACACTATGTGAGAATATCAATACAGTAAAGTCCGCTTCTCGTGCATGTAAAGGCTTATGAGATTTTGAGCTAGCTGTACCACTGACGATAACATAAAAACATTTCATTTGTTTCGAAATAATTGTGTTCATTTATTGCATTATTCATTGTGCTGCTGTTGTGAATAAAAAACGAGGTTGACATTTAGGCTTTACAGCTGTTCGATCCGTGGAACATATTCCTATGGTAGATATTTTTGTTTTATCTTCTGAATGGTAGGCATTTTCTGTAAAACAATCGCAAACGTAAATATGAAGAAGATAATAATTAATGTCTAAAAATACAACCGACCAAAAGCGTGTTTCTGGCATTTTCATTTACTTAAT